GCGCAGTTGTGGGAAAATTCAACTACCAGTCCTTCATCACCTTATACAAAATAGGGTGACACAACTTAACAGCCATTCACTGCGAGTTGCTCATTTTCAGGGAATCCTCAGCCCATTAGACTGCCTTGGAGTGGCTTTCGGAACTTACAAGTCTGTCACTTAAATGGCTGCATGATTCAGCCCAAAGGGGTCACCGTTTTTTGTTGCTTTGATTCTAAAATAGTAGTTGACCAAAGGCCAAACGGTGATATTTCGTCGTTCTGAGCTTACAGTTAATTTTACGAAGAGCATCTCTTGCAGTTTCATGACACTTGGAGCTAATTTTCACTCTACTTTAAATATATGCCCCATTAATTTTCCGTTTTTTCCATTTAAATGACATCACCCTCACTGTTTCCATTTCCTTATTCGCCCTTACCCGCCCGGTCAGGAGAAACAAATGTTCACGATATTCCGAACAGTGAAAGAGGACACCGGGACGTACCAATGCAACGCCAGCAATCCTGTTGGCTGGGACATTGTTGAATACGACGTACGAGTGAGAGGTAAGCAACTCTTCTGGCACACATTCGGCTACGTCTGTCAGGTTACAAGTGACCCGGTTGAAGCTTGACTGGAAACTAGGTCCACCGTCTCATGTTGGTGCAATTGCAAATTTTCTATAAATACTAATTGTAACAATTAGCATAATTAATGCTGCGTATTCCGAAGATATGGAGTGAAATGCACTTATAATACCCATACTGCCTCAAGATGTGATATTGCACCCGTGGCACTGCCGGGGTACTCTTGGCGGCCAAATCTTGCGTAAATTGACTTTTTATTTTCTAATCATGAATGTTACTACTCATAAGACAAAAGTAGTGGTTGTGGTTATATGAGTTTCGAGATAAATTAGTGATGCGAAATGACTTGTGCCATACAGCCACTAGTCTTTAGGTCTTTTCCCTCCCTCGCAGAGCTATTATTTTACTTTCAAAAAAGGATTCAACTGCTTGTTCCAGATTAGCTCAATTAATGTAACCCACGCTTGACAACTGGCCTCGTCGGACAGGACCTGACAGCAAGTGTCAAGATGGCGTTGCTTGCTGAAGTTGTTCTATCTGAGCCAGAAAAGTGTTACTAAGCGTAACTACACGTGAAATTCATTTTATATACTCTTAAGTTAATCGTTTACTCTTACAGGTAAATATCCTTCCCATACTTGATCGGCCTGATAGAGTTTCAAAGCAAATTGTCCCTTGTTGCTTGATTGGACTGAACTACAATCTTGCCTATTTGTTGCTTCTATACCAATTCTATTCGATGCCAAACCTGCCTCGAGCTCATCGCTGGCAAGTAATGCACAGGATGGGGTCTCTCTCAAGATGCCGATCCTACCTCTCTCACACTTTCTGGCCGTCCTCCGCGGCGGAATCTGTACCTTTTGCACTTTCTGCCCCCCCTCGTGTCACCTAATCTGCTAGCTGTGCCCAGCAGCAGATAACCTTATCCTCATTTCCCCTGACCACCTTAATGATCCCAATCTCACCCTATGCTTCCCACTCCCAACTGACCCGATCTACGCGGATTCGTCGCCGGATCAGTGCCGCCACAGATCGACGCCTCCAACTGGCAGCGCGAGGTGCACTGGTTCGTCAATCAGTCGCGCTCGCTCGACTGTACTCTGATGGCTGGCGCCGACCCTCCAGCCACCATCACCTGGGAACGCGGTGATATTCCTTTAAGGCCGGGGCCTAACTTGCGTATCTCGCCGGACGGTACCAAAGTCACGGTTCCGCTGGTGAGCCAACGAGATGCCGGGGAGTATCGGTGTCGGGCACAGAATGAGGCTGGCAACTCGTCGATTGACTTCAACGTCTTCGTCTACGGTAAGCCTCAATGCACTACACCGGCAAGCACATGTTCCTTCTGAACAGGAGGCTAAGGAGGCCGGGAGGAAGAGGTGAGTAGTTGAGTGGGATACCGTTGCTAAGACCGAAAGGACGACAAAAAGGTATCAGAATGCTTGTGTGTGCGCATCCATTTATGTACGTATGTATGTATGTATGTATGTATGTATGTATGTATGTATGTATGTATGTATGTATGTATGTA